AATAATAATAATAATAATAATAATAATAATAATAATAATAATAATAATGCCTTCTTATTGCACCGGGTATTGATCATTTTACCTACATCTACCCTCAAATAAAAATAAAAATAAGGCTAGGGTGGGTTTTTCATAACTCTGTACATTTTTTTCTTGATTAAACAAGAATTGTGGTGGTGTCTTTTTTCCCCCTGCATACAGGTAGTCCTTGTCTTAAGACCACAATTGAGTCCCAAACTTCCACTGCTAAGTGAGACAGTTATTAAGTGAATTTTGCCTCATTTTACAACCTTTAGCACGGTTTTTAAGTGAATCACTGCAGTTGTTAAATTAGGAACACAGCTGTTAAGTGAACCTGGATTGACTTTGTTTGTCAGAAGGTCGCGAAAGGGATCACATGTCCCAGGGAAGCCGTCATAAATACATGCCAGTTGCCAAGCATCTGAATTTTGATCATGTGACCACAGGGATGCTGCAACGGTTGTAAGTGTGAAAAACTGTCATAAGTCACTTTCTTCAGTGTCATTGTAACTTTGAATGGTCACTCAAACAAATGATTTCAGGTCAGGGACTGATTGTACAAGATTTGATTATGTAAAATAATATCGTGTGATAGGACAGGTGTTATCTGATAATGATAAGGATTTGTAAAAAGTATTTTCAATCAGGGAACATGTTTAGAATTATTAATAACAGAATCCAAGGTTAAGATGGGACTATATTTCTTTTTAATATTGTTGCTGTTAAAGATTTATGCATTTTTAAATGCTGTACAGATTCTTATTAATCCTATGATTCATAATAAATAATGCAGGATTTCTAGACAATATTTATTCTCAGCACCTGCTAATATTTTTTTTTGCAGTCCCACACCTACGTAAACACAGCCAGTGGTGAAGGTGAAATAAGGGGCCATCATTGTATGCACTCCTTACCTGAAGTTCATCCTCCGATTGCTCATTCCAACCATAGCTGTTCCCTGGAGGACCGGAATCCCCAAGTTTACCTTCAGCCAGGAGAAGTGAAGTTTGTTTTGGGCCCGAACCTGGGTTATAGGCACAGGATGAAATGTGAAGGCTACTGTCGACCCCACTGGGAGTGCTCAAGACATTTCTGCACCCCTCATAACAACAACAACAACGATTACAAAGAAGAGTGCCTCGCCCCCAAGTGTGTTTATGAAAACCTCAATGGTCTTCTGCCTTCACGAGGAACCTTACTTCGTCAGGGTAGCGGGCGCTTGAAAATTCCTCGTGAGGACCTGAATCCTGCCAGTTGCTCCCATCGCCGGACCGCCCTACTGCACTATGAGAACCTACCATCATTGCCTCCTGTGTGGGAGTGTCAGCCCCTAAGACGGGGCCAGGATGATGAGGACTCCAGTGATGCAATGACACCTTCCTCTGCTGGTTATCCAGAAATTGAAGAAGACGACCCTTTACGAAGTTACATGAATTCAGAAAGGGTTGCCCTACCTGGAGGCATGCACAGGGGAGGTTGCTTGCAACAGCGCCGCAGTTGTACCCCGAGTGTTTTCAATTTCGACTTCTGCCGGCCCTATTTGGAGCAGCCAAGGCAACTCAATTATATCCAGGTAGAACTGCAAGATGATCCTTGTAAAGGGCGCCAAAGCATACCAGTCCCCCATGTCCCATGTGCGGTTGCCCATCCTGCCCACAGGACCAATTCCTATGCGGTCATTGACCATAAAAAGACAGCAGCCATGTCCAGCTTGCAGAGAGCACTGCCTAAGGACGATGGGACTTCCAGGAAAACACGACATAACAGCACTGACCTGCCTCTGTAAGAAGAACATTCAACCCAAGCACCTCATTGTGGCTTTTGTATCTGCTCTTCAACAAGTCATGTTACATAACTGCCATTTTTTCATTGTGCTCCCTGTTACTCTGTGTGAGTCACTGGAATAGTTTCATCAAGCTAATTTAAGAAATGTAGCCTATCTGTGCCTCTTCCGAGCCTCCTATTCCTCTACCATGTACTTTCTGAAGCCCTGCCATGTGCTTGATTACTTGACGGGGCTGATGACAGGGTGGGTAATGGTGCAGTTGGAGTGTGAAGGCTAGGGAAACACTGTTTAATATTTATTTTTGAACATACACAAATGATATTTATTTTCAAATTTTGCATTAATTTATTTTTCAGAGACGCTGGTATTTGTTTATTTATTCATGTGAAAGTGCCCAGTAAATGTAACACTGAATTGCTTTGCAATTAATTCTTTTCTCCATGAGAATCAGGAAAGCTCCAAGAGGGGAGGAGTTGAATCATTTTTTAAAAACAAATGCAAGGCTAGCCACCAAAAGGCAGAGCAGAGGAGGAGATTCAGACTATCAGAGATAGTAATGCATGCAAGAATGGTTCTAAACCCATGTGGTCCCAGGAATGGCTCAACACGCTGGCAAAGCTGATCTTCCCAGCTCCAATTTCTGACTGTGGTATATCTCATAATATGCCTCCCTTCACCCTCAGAGTAGGAAAAAACATGGAACTATAAATTCCTAAGAAATCCTTGGTAAATGTTTTTAATCGTTGCTGTTTGCCTAACAGTTTGGGATAGTCTCTAAGATAGAGGTCTCCAAACTTGGCAACTTTAAGACTTGTGAACTTCAACTCCCGGAATTCTCCAGCCAGCTAGCTGGAGAATTCTGGGAGCTGAAGTCCACAAGTCTTAAAGTTGCCAAGTTTGGAGACCCCTGCTCTAAGAAGTTAATATTCTGATGTTATGGTACTACAGTAGTTCGCTAGAATCACATAAAAGCTTTCCTTCCTCCATTTTACTTTATTGCCTCAAATCCAACACTCTAATATTGTCCCAGACATAGTTCAATATGTCAGTGAAATCCAGGCCATTATTTGCAAATAATTGATTTTGGGGAAGTGGGGAAAGAGGGAACTGGAATATTTTGAGCAACCTTAAGGACAAGCAAAGCTTTACTTATTTGGGACTTTCACATTTATGTTAGGGTTAGTAATAAACCTACACTAAGGGAGTATACATATGGCGGACATTATTTATTTTGCATAGCTGTTGGCCTTCTCAGGGATTAGCCCTTCCAGGAATAACTATATTTGACCTAAAGTTCAGTCAGTTTATTCTGAAAATCTGTTCCACTGAAGCCATTTTTAAAGTTCACTGTATGCAAAACAAGCATTATAGAATTGGGGATTAGGATTTGATAGAAAGTTATCGTTTCTTTCCTTTCCTTTCCAAATCTGTTAAGAGCTGTCCTTATCTAACAGTTTTACAAAGCGCTTTTTGTTATTTATTTATTTTTTGAAAATAGAATGTTTACCTGTTTTGCTTTGAATTTCTCATGTAATTCCACCTCAAGGAGTCCAAATTAGTACTAGTATTTCAAGTGATAAGCTCAGCAAAACCAATCTAAAGTATTCATAATTTGGGTAAATATTAATTCTAACTTTTACGTATGGATCCATACCATTAAAACCTTACCCAAACAATGTAGTGCAGAAGTTTTAAAACCGCTTCAAATTATGTTTATTATTGTTAATTATTGCTCACCATATTGTCGTGAAACACATGTTTTGCATGTAGAATATCCCAGATTTAAGAGTAAGAATTTCTCATCTGAAATATAAGGTATTACTTATTAGCATAGATGATAGAGACTTAAATTATGAATACCATGCTCCAGCATGTCCTTTATTTTTCAGTTTCCATTCCACTATTCCTTCATAGTTCTATTGTAGACTCATAACTAAAAGAGAGAAAAAATGCACTGAAGGAACAAGAGAAGAAATGGTTGCATATATAATTAGTCTTGCTTCCATTACATGTATTTCATGTCACAAAGGAGTTAATCAATTAGTGCATTGAGATTTAAGATTGACTTTTATATGATAACTGCATATAGGATGTGACTTGGAAGGTTTTGAAAGTGGCTGCTATTCTATATGGTTTCAGTATCACAAGCAGGTATAAAAATGTCAAATTTCAGCATTTTTTCCTCTATTCCTTTCACTGCAGTCTTATAAATCATGTTCTAAAATTCATAGCTGGAAGGGGAAGATAGACAGATTTGGGTAGACATCAAGATTTCCTCACTGTGGCTCATTGTCATATAGTTAGGATTGTCAAGAAGGCATTGATTTGATGAGTGATCTTATATCCTTGATGTATAAATTGGGCTATTTCTGATTTTAACCAGTTACTATAAAATCATTTTGCTTATTCAGCACTGCCTTTTTAATTGTTGTGCATAATATGTTGAAATTTATTAGTAGACGTTAAAATTAGGTGGTCTTTTATGATCATTGACCTTTGTGGTGTTCCAGTGTCTAATCAAAATCTATTAGAATTAATAGAAGAGTTTCTCTGTCCTCTATTTGTACTTTAAGTCAACTCAGTCCAAATATATCATCATATTTTTATTCTTCAATTTTTATATATAACTCAAGCAGATGTGGTATTCAGCAGGTTCTGACCAGTTCTGGAGAACCGGTAGTAGAAATTTTGAGTAGTTTGGACAACCAGCAAATACCACCTCTGACTGGAGGTTTTACAGTATCCTTCCCCTGCCATGCCCACCAAGCCACGCCCACAGAACCAGTAGTAAAAAAATTTGAATCTCACCACTGAACTCAAGAACTGATGCTCTTGGCTTCTAATTTTCCTGACAACACAACCTGTCAGATGCATTGGGCTGAGGTGGAGTAACTGGCCCCAAAACACAAAGCTGGCATTCATGCATAAGGGAAGACTAGATTTCTATTTTCTAGCCCAGTACCGTAACTGCTACACGAGACTTGTTCTTGAGCCATTATGGGCAGTTTCAGTATGCAGAATTCTTCCAGTGTCGTCGTTTGCCTTGTCATCAGTTTTACTTCACAAATCCACAGGTGGTTCATTCTAAAACAGGGGTGTCAAAATGGATTTCCTCGAGGGCTGGATCAGCATTGTATTCATGGGCTGGCAAGGGTGGGGATGGAGACCGGAGGGAAGGGTAGATGGGATTTCCCCTGTTTTTGGCCGGCAGAGTGCTGCAGGATCTGGGGAGGCCTCCCCGTGGCCTGTTTTGGGCGGCAGAGACACTGTGGGCCAGTCCTTTGGTATTTCCATGCGGGCTCCACGGACCAGATTCAAGCACCCCATGGCCCGGATATGGCTCGCGGGCATTAACTTTGACACCCCCGTTCTAGAACATCAAGTGAAGGCTTCTATGTAACTGGTGATGGGAAGGCTGGAGTCCAGAGGACTCGAGCAGCTTCTTGTCACCATTCAGTATTGATCACAAAGCTATGTATAGGTGGTCTATTGATCTATCTTAGATATTCAGTTAAGATGGAAAAAAATAGTTTACTTTTTAGGTGTAATGGAACCCAAAGGGTAATTAATGAAACAACGTTGATTAAAAAGAAGGACATGGGATTAAATAGGGAACACTCTCGTTCAAGGATTATGTTTACTCTGAGAGATACTTAATAAAAATGAAGGACTTCGAATACTTTCTGGTTGCTGTTGTCTCAGAGTCAGCTAAAAATACACTTTTGTATGATTCCCTAAAAGTATGGTTTAGTTTTAAGTGCTAAGAAATGTGTTTACCATGGTACAATTAAATCAGTGCCAAAAATCAGTGTTTTATCTAATTGAGCCACTTACATGGTTTCACTGTTTGACTTTGGTTTAGTGTTTGGATATAGCCATTTTGGTTTTTAAATCAGGTTTATGGCTTAGTGTACTCTATGAATTCAACCAGTTTCGTATTCCGTATTTAAACAGTAACTTATTGTGTTATGTGAATCTATCCACTGAATGAGATGCGATGAAAGATATGAAGCTGGTTGCCTGCTTAAGTCTTTTTGCAGTTTACATCCATTGCTCATTTAACTGCTAAAAGGGTTCAATGCACTTTTATTACTATTCATTACTGTTATTTTTCAGAGACCTTTAAGGAACATTTTCTAATGTGCCAAGAATGGTGCTTTTGCCAAGCCTTTGTAAAGGTTAGAAAAGTTCCAGCTAGTAGAGGCAGATGAAAAGCAGAATCGCACTTGGTGTACTAGCTTCTCATAGAGTCAGACTGATAGCCACCATCAACCTTCAGGCTGATTGAATTGGTCCGCTGCAAGCACCTGATGGGTCTTTTTGGTTTCTAATGGTGTTTGGGTAGTGACCTAACAGGCAGCTAGCTCTATGGGGAATTTATTCAAATCTGTCTAATGGTAGTAATAGGTTTTTATTAATAATTTTGTTAATTGTTAATAGTATTTATTAGTTTTAATGGCTTGGGTTTTTTTTGAGTATTTTATACGTGTTTTATTGTGTTTGTGGTAAGCTACCTAGAGTTGTAAGAACAAGGCAGCATACTAATGGTAAATAATAGTGGTAAATAAATAGATAAATAATCGTTCAGCAATCCAGTGTCTCCTTTACAGGTGGTGCTTGCACTGTTCCTTCATTGGCTCTATACCCCCATGGATTGCACCTTGCCTGTATTGGGGGAGACAGAGCTGATTTGATTCTGACCTCAGCAGCAGGGCAGGAAGAAGTGCTGCAGATGCTGAAACTGAAGTGATAGAGCTGAGAGGTGGGGAATTTTCCTTTAATGGGAATTCTTGCCCTCATCCTGGTTCCTGAGTTTTCCATTCCCCCTGCTTGGGTTAAGAAACTATGGCACTACAGTGCCTTTTTATCAGTCTTAAAATACATAAAGGAGCAATTTTGTAGCCGCCACCCTTGTAGCTGATCTTATTTTTGTATCTCAACAGAAACATTGTAAAGTTTGAGGGGGTAAGTGCATTGCGTGGCTACATTTTTTTTTGCAGACTCCTATTGGTGGGGAACACCATTGCCAGAATTCTGGCCATGAATTGCAGGACACTGAATTCCTTGGAGTGAGGATGGTATACAGAAACGATTTCTGATATTCTCAATAGAAGTTAGCTCTTATTCTCACTTGCTACATGTGTAACATTAAATTTAATATTGGCCAAGCAATCAAAAGTGAAAATGTGACTTTTCTGGCACTAGTCATAAGTCTCACAGAGTTGGAGAGTTGATAAACATGATTCTTTCCTATCTCTGAATATATTGTGCTCAGCATTGCGCAAAGTTATTTATTTGCTTTTAAATGTGCAACTGGAAAGAATTCAGTGCAATTGGAAAGAACGATTCAACAAGTCCCATAATAAATTGCTATTAAAAATAACTACATTTAAGAGATTGTTACTTTTTACTTGTTTTATTTTTGTTTTTTTAAGCTATAAAAGATCAATAACGTTTATTTAAAAAAAAAAACTACATCCAAACTAAGTTGGGTGTCACCTTTTTTCCCCTCATGAAAACTCCAAGCCATTAACAACCGTGATTGTCAAAAATCTAGCACATTTCTAAGCATAGCTGTGTTGTTATTGCACTAGCTACTGGTAGTAGCTACATATTGAGCTGTTCTAGAGGAAAAAAAAAGTCAAATTAAAGTAGATTCATGTTTTATTGCATCCTTAACAACATTTCCATGTTAGTCATCTTTTAGGATCAGCACATTAAATATAGTTTGCAATCAGGGGACTGCTGTAGCCTAATTTTCTTTAGGCTTTGCTGTCAAAATGGGGTATTTAGTTCTCTTGGATAGTTAAAGTAAAATAGACTAGTATGTACTTCATAGCCCCTTTTAAAAACATTGTCAATGAGTATGTCTACAGCTACACTGCATCCAGCAGCTTTTAAGAGCAGGTACTGTAAACTCACTGAATGGAATAATGTTAGTGGAATACTTTCTCATGTCTCAAGGGCATTATGAAGATTAAGATTTGAGTATCATAAATGCCAAGAAACATTAGTACTGTACTGAACTTACTTTGCACATCAAATGGAATCCCATATTAGTTGATGTTGTATTTAGTGTGAAAGGGCATTATCTATAACCCAATTCCCAATTCCCCATCTCATAATAGTTATCTGTGTCTTCTGATTGGTCTCTGGGGAATCTTGTTCTACATAAGATAATAGGTTTTTATTTATGTTTTAATATTTCTTTAAAACTTTTCATAGTTTCAAGTCCTTTCATGAGAGTTCATCTTTTCAAGCATTTTGGATTCTATAAAAGCAGGGAACTGTTGCCTCTGTCTAGTGATAGAAGAATATGAATCTGCCTTCATTTTCCCATTAAGGGAGGTAGGGAAGAGAGAAGAACTCTAAATATGAAAAATGTAACCAGCTTATGAGTTATTTTCCTGGAACATTCAGTCCTCAGATGTATGAAATACTTGAAATGTTAGAAATGGTCCTGTTCTTGAATTAATATTAAAAAGTAACCAAATTGGAGTCTGGGATTGTGAGACAACAACTTTCAGTGGGTAGATTTTTTTCTGTAATTCATTTTGAAAAGCCTGGCTATAGCTAGGTAGATCTCAGTGTCTTACATTGTGCTGTTTACTTCATAGTTATTTGTACTGATGATTTTATTTCTGACCTGGCAGAAAAACAAGGGTATGGGGATGCTCAGTTGTTCTGGCCATAGAAGTTGCTTTGTGATTTTTATTCAGTGGTTTCTGCTGTGTACCTCTGTTAATTCCTATTTGTATCTTATCCTGTGTAGCCTTCAAAGTGAAGAGCATTAGCAGTGCCATGTGACTGAGGAGCACTAATATCTTATGTTAATGTGCACAAAGAATGTATCTAAAATAAATTAATTCTGATGCTTATCTTATGGAAAGTGTGGTTTATTTGATAACTTGTAAACAAAAACTTTGTAATTACCAAGGTACTCTGATCTCTGACAATTTTGTTTGCTCAGCAATCTTGAATTTTTTGCATAATACCTATATTAATCTCCAGCGTAAGATCCTATAGATGTCTTGAGCTCCAGCTCTCAATGTGTAGCAACCATGATTTTGATTGTAATTCTGAGAAATTAATTAAGGTCTAGGAGATGTCAAGATAAAATTGCAGAACAGTTTCCAGACCATAAAGTTGGTGCTTTATTGATTATTCATAAAATAGTGGCTGTGTGAGGGTCAATAATATAAAAAGTATTCTTAAATAGAAGCTTCTAATGGGAGATGTTTTTTCATACTAAAAAGTATATTATATATAAGAATAATATTCCTAGAAAATGTGGGTTCGTTGCAATGAAGGATACAATGGCCAAACTTGTAAAACCCAAAAGTCAGTCTTTTGATTATGGCAAACTATTATTCAATGTTGAACACTTTACTGAAAAAGATATAGGCCTTTTAACTTTAATTTGAAATTTTTAGAACCCCATCAGATAATGTGTGAGAATCAACTATTACCCTCTTATTTAATGATAATACTCTAGGCTTACTTATCTGTTGCATGAAAGTGATTATGAAAATTATGCTATAAACTATTTTATTTTATTTTGATCAAGGAAAAAAAGGGAATTTGGCAGAGTGTTTCTAAAATGTGAAGTACAACTCTTGTTTGTTCTGGTCCCTCTAAATGTATTCCTGACTTTAACAAAACAA